ATCAGACCTCCCAAATTTAAAGACCCAATCGAAAAATGGGCATCTGAAATGAACAGACATTTCTCAGACAAAGAAGTAGAAATAGCCAATAAACATGTGAAAAAATGTTCAACATCACTGGTCATTGAAGAGATGCAAATGAAAACAAGGCTGAATTCCACCTCACCTCAGAAAGAATTGCTGCTATCCTTAAATCAACCAATAACAAAGGGTGGAGGGGCTGTGGGGAGAGAGCAACACTGCTCCACTGCTGTGTAGACTGGTGCAACCACTGTGGAAATCAGTACAGAGATACCTCAATGGACTAGGACTGAAAGTCCCATTTGACCCAGCTATTCCCCTTCTGCGTATCTTCTCTAAAGAATTAAAAGAATCATACCACATATGTACACCCATGCTCATAGCAGCACAATTTGCAATAGCTACAACTTGGAAGCAGCCCAATTGCCCATCAACTGGATAAAGAAAATGTGGTTTTTAAATAAAATGGAGTACTACTCAGCCATAAAAAATGAGAAATTAGAGACGTATAACTGAATGCATGTACATTGAGGTGATACTCTTAAGTGAAATAAATGGACACACGTGTAAATACTGAATAGTTTCTCTAGTGTGAGAAACTGAAAGTGTAAATAAGGACTAAAGGGTATAATAGATAATGTGAAATAGGAAGAAAAGATGTAAAGAGGAAGGGAAAGTAGGAGGGGTAGGGGAAAGGAAAGAAGGGAATGGAATTAATATGAGAAAAGGTAAAAATGAAATCAAAGTCTTTGTAAATAGTGAGGGATGGAGGGGTTGAAGGGAGGGCAGGGGGATGGGGAAAAATAAGAACCAAGAGAGATTATGTAAAGGTGCAAATTTCCAATGATGAATGTCATTATATTGTATACCTAAAATATATTGATAAAATTAATTAAAAAGAAACTTAGAAAACAAATGCTAATGAAGATGAGGGAAAAATCTTGTTTACATTGTTGATAGAAATGTAAACTTGTACAACTACTATGGAAGTCAGTATGAAAATTCCTCAAAAAATTAAAAATATAAATTCCACTTGATCCAGCTCTACTCCTTCTTGGTATCTTCCCAATTATGTTAAGTACATTATACTATAGTGATACATGTATACCCATATTTATAACAGGACAATTCACAATAGCTAAGCTGCGGAAACAGCATATTTGTCCATTAATAGATGAATGGCTAAAGAAAATATGATGTACACATTATACATAATATAAAGAATTCACCAAAAAATGTATATACACTTTAGGAAAAGAATATGATGTCTTCGTCATATTTGTCTTATGAAAAATATCATGTTTTTTTTCAATAGATGGTGTTACTCTCATATGGAGGATCCTAGAGGATGTTGTATATCACAGAAAACCCACTATACTGCTGGCCTTTAGACAAGAAATTGAAAATGCATGTGCAGCAATCTCAGTGACCAAGATTACCAAGCAGCAGTTTGCTGTACTAATAAATGTCTAGAAGGCAATGGTAACCACTTTGAGCACCTCTTTGAATTGTAGAGGCCAAAGGTAACTTGTATTAATCTCATCATGTACTTAGTATTAAATTATTAGTATTAAATTTAGTATTAAAATCTTTATACAAGTTTTTCTTTTCTTGAAGGGTGTAAAAGATGGCCAGTTCTATCAGCTCTTGGGAAAGTAGAGGCCACTGTAGCTCCAGCACTGGTTTGGTTAAGAAAGGCTATTCTTGGGGTTTTCTCATGCAAAGTCTAAAATTTGACATATTATTTTCTTAGGATCTGGATGGATCAGAACATATCTAATCTTGGAAAGAAGACCTAGATAGTATAAAATCTTCTACTTCTGGAGTCTATGATTAGGGTCCTGACCTGCAGGCCTGCTAGGAACCTATTTATGCCTTGGTAAGGCAAATGGCTCTTACACATTCATACAAAGAATGAGAATGAATCTCATCAGAAAGAACATTAGAAACCTAGGTTAGGGAAAATTGCTTATCTAACGCTAATAATCTGTCTTGAAAAACTAAAAACTATAAATAACATTTCAAGCATGCCTAAAATTTTAATATTTGGCCCATAAGCCATAAATTCAGAGACAGCTTTGCACCCCAGTGTTGTCAATTACTGGAGAATTCTTTTGCTTAATTCAGATGGAAATCATGAATTGGCAAAGTGCATCTCTGCTAGCAGTCCTGAGGTCACCAGATAACACTGAATAACACTGGATGCCAACAGTTGACACAGCTAGCTATTGGTCACTGTGCTGTTGCCAGCCAGTCTCAGCTTGTGCTGGATGCCATAGATGACTCTGCCAGGTGCTGGTCTCTGTTGCTGATCTTCACTTGCTTCTGGTCTCTGGAGCTCTTTAGGGTTACAGCCCTGGTGTTTATTCCTGTTTCTTTTGAGATGAATGCTATGTCCACATTACTCAGGATAGGAATCCTGAGTAGATTTACAGGTCCTTTTGGAGCCCACACTATCACAGAAATAAATCATGAGCAGATTTACAGGACCACTAAAGTGAGTCTTTATTTTTGCAGAACAGGGGGATCAGTACACTGGTGGGAGCCCTCTTAGACTAAGCTCAAAAGTATGGGACAAGTGCTGTCTACATAGCTGCAGGCCTGTGATTGGTTTAAGTGCATGGCCACTATGGGTTCAAATTTGGGCCTACTGATTGGTCCAACTTCAGCCTGTGATTGGTCTAAGTGGGTGTGGGGCTCCAGGACAGCCACACCTGTCAGGGCACCGATTCAGTGAGGTGGTGGGACATCACAAGTTTGTTCTCTGGGGAAAAATTGGGGCCGACACCAGGGAACCTTCAGGAAGGCTAGCTGTGTTCAGCACAGAAAACTGGGATTCAGGAAAGTTGGGGATGTTAACAATAGGCCCAGATCCCTCTGTATTTGATCTTAGCCATGTTAGGGTGACACCCCCCCCCCTTCTTTAAAGAGGCAGCAGCACCTTGGCAGGAGCAGGAGAAGGGCACCCTACAGCTGACAACCAAGTGGCCTCATGTTGCAGTGTCCTGGAGGAAGGTGGCCACTAAATAACCAGGGTGGACCCTAGGGAAAGTTATCCCACCCTATGGTGGTGGTGGTGGAGGTTAGGGGGAGCAAAGGGAAATGAGGGGGAGGATGCGACCACCCTGGCCAAGCCATGCCTCACTCCTGCCTGGGCTGTGGTGGTTGCTAGACTCAAGCCTTTTCATCTGTCTCCCCAAGACTGCCTACAGAGCTCCCTTCCCACTCTGCAGTCCACCTAGACAATTGCCTCACTGTTGGTGGTTCTAGATCTCTACTCCATTTTTCTCCTGTTAAGGTATATCTTTGTGTTCCAGTCCCTCTCTGCTAGTTGGTTTTCTAGAAAACCTTGGGCTGTATGAATTTCTTCCAAGAGTGGACTGGCCACAATGGGACAGGTTAGCTCATTATTACTGAGTCCTGTGATCAGCTTGTTTGGAGTCTGTAATAAATCTTGATGATAAGTAGTACTGTCATGTGAAAAAACATTAGATCTGCATACATTTATGACATCCAATCAAATATAAAATTATTTTTCAAAAATGTAGATAATTCTGTATGTATGTGTGCTTGTGCATATATGCATATGTATATTGTTTTGTTTCCAAACAAGAAATTTTCACAGGACTAGTTAAGCTTTTGTCCTACTTCTCATGCATCACAACAAATGAGAAGATTAAATCTGCCTAATATGTCTTGCTTTCCAGTTGGAGACAGTAGTTATTTTAAACTAGAAAGAAACGTAGAGAATTGGATTATGATAATAGCAACAAAGAGGGAAGTCACTCTTCATACCTTCATCTAAACTATACCGTATCTCTGGATGCATAAAAGTTAATCAAGGGTTGCGGCCACATTTAAAAATGAGGTAAGTAATAATTTCTTTCCTGAAGAAATTAAAAATCAACTGTTAATATTTAGCTCACAAAGAACAATTTAGGAGATGTGGGCCTCAGTGTTCTTAGTGTTCTCTCTCAGTTTTCAAGAGTTCTTAGAGAAAGTGGGTGTTTGAAATGAATCTTGAGGTGTAGATAGAAAATAAAAAAGAGAGGAACATTTTACTCCTTTAACTGTGGAATGGATAAATATTCAGAAGCAGGAATAAGCATGACATAGTAAAGAAAAGGCAAAGGTTTACATGTGTAGGATCCATTCAGGCAGACTTTGGTCTCAGTCTGTTGCTGTTGAAGAGGTTGACAGCTTGGCATATTCCTCTAACCTTTCGCAGGCCTCTAATTCTTCATCTCAAAGTAAGGAAAAGTAGCATCTTTCTCAATAGATTATTTTAAATATTGAATGGAAAAAGGGTATAAATTGGCCCTTGACACATAGACATTTGATACCTGCTGACCAATAATAGTGAGAAATAATAAGAAAGATAATTAGTGAATGATGTGATCTATAACTGCAGTATGAGAGAAAAACAGATTTGTGTTCCAGAAAAAGCTTGTGGAATTAAAAGTGAGGACATACTAAAGATTTAGATAGAAAACCACTCCTCATTTATTTCCAGTGTGAATTCAAGTTACATAGAGGTCTTCATATCTATCTTCAGTTTAAGTAGCTCCCAGGAGTTCTGATGCTGGGGATCCACCTGGAGCTTTCCAGGGGACACTTGTTACACATTGAAGGTTCTGTCATGTCTCTTCTCATTTTAGGCACTTAGTGCCCTGGACCCAAGAGCATGGCTCAGCCATCCATCTGAGGCATTGGATTTAACTACCATTTAGAGAAATCCCCTAAAGTACCCCTCCTGTTCTCCCAAAAACTCCTCTGGTGGATATTTCAGCCTTTCTTCTATTCCACCTAACTCAAAGCATCAAGCTTCAACCATTCTCCTTGAATCAGTGTGCTTCATTTTTCTCATGAGAAGTGTTTACTTCTCGTCACGTGTGGTTGTTGGTGGTGATGGTGATCATGTGTTAGGAAAAGCTCAGACTGTGAAAAACACAAGAGTTGGTGGAATGGAAGCTGGGTAAAGGTTCCTTTGTTTTCCCTGATAAATCTACAGAAAAAAATCAAATCAAACTGAAGTCACCTGTTCTTTTATCTCCCAGCTCTTGGGAAGGGTATTTCTTTGTGGTCACCAAGTCCTGGCAATATCTCCAACTGGATTATATGCCAAAGAAAAGCCTTAAAAAACTGTCAGTATTTTTGTTGAAGGGGGGCTCACAAACAAATAAAACTCTTTCACCAGTGTTTCAGGGGAAGGTACTGTTACACCCATGAATAAAACATAGTTCATGTTCTCAAAGAACTTGCTTATAGCAAGGCATATATCCAAGATGGTTAAAAGGAACTTCAGTGAAGAGATGGCCCTCTATGCCTTGGAATTTGGGAAAGCTATTCTGAAAACTATGAGAGTCCTATGGCTGTTCTCAAATTGCCACTGTTCCCAGATGACCTCTTTGTAATCTGGAGACAGTCTTTGTGAGAGACTTTGAGTGTACATTTTCACTGAGTAAGTAATGTGACAGGTGCTTCTACAGTTTGGAAGGACAGACCACAGGTGACAAATGGGAAAGGAATCCATGGCTTGACTCTGCTTTGCTTATTAAATATGTGGGACAATTAGTGGGGGAGATGATTGGAGAGATGTTGGTAAAGGACACAACATTTAACTTAGGCAGTAGACTATTAGTAGTAACCTATTATATTCTTAGTTAGTAGCAATCTATTATATTCTTTAAAATTGCTCAGAGTAGATTTTAAGTTTTCATACCACAAAAATTAAGTATGGGAGGTAATATATATGTTAATGAGCTCAACTTAACCATTCCACAATATCCACATATTTAAAAACAATATGTTGTACTTGATAAATATATACAACTTTATTTTTCAATTAAAATAGCTTTCTTTAAAAGAGAAAAATACATAATCTTGTTTTACTCTAGTGAGTCCCTTACGGTATCTACAAGTCATAAGGTGAAAAAGATTTAGGAGTCCTGCAAAGAGGACATCTTGTCCCTTCTGAGGGGGGATATAAGGCTTCTTCTCTTATGAGGTATGGAATCTTGTGCAAGTTAATTAATAATGCTTACTGTGACTCTTTTGCAAAACAAAATGTACAGCAATTTCTTCCTCATAGGATTGCTTGACGATTAACTTAGTTAATACATACAAATGCACTTGGAATATTGCCTAGCACATACTCATTGCCTGATAAATGGCAAGTACTATAATTCTGGCCTTTTTCTGTTTGAGGATATCTAAAGGATAAGTGATCTGTGATGGTATTAGAAGCCAGCCTCTAATCAACCAACACTAATGAATAGATGAGCAATGCTTAGAAACTTGAGATAATATTCACATGTTGAAAATTGCTGTTGTATACACTGCTGTTGAAGGCTATCGAACCCTCTGTCCCAGGTGGTTGTATAAGCCAAAAATATAAATAGACTCAAAGAGAGGTGAAATAAAACTAAGTGGTAGGACACCCCAAACTTCCAAGGACGCAGAAAGCAACCGCTGCT